TAAAAAAGAAAAGTTTCGTGAAGCAAGTTGATCTCCAACTGACGTTGTTCCATATACCACTGAATTGCGGCTACATTCATGTTAATGAGCGTCATTGATTCTTCGTAAACAGTTGTTAACTCATTGAGTGATTCTTCGAAAGTAGACATTTCGGCAAAGATAATAATAAATTTATGGGAAAAAAATAATAAAAAGAAAAAAGTTACAGGAGGATAGTAATCTGACAAAAATCTGCCCTGATGTCATACGCTATACCGAATTTGGGGGTGGGGGTTCCAAGTTTTTACAAAAAGAGGGGTTCACAAATTTTTTTTGCTTGGGAACACCCATAGTCGATAAAATTCAGTCCGTAATCCATTCCTGCAAGGTTAAAAACAGTTTGAGTGGTAGTACAAAAAATATCGTCACCATAACATTTTTACTGTTTACGACTGTACATCCAATTCGGAATATTCACAAAGTGATCTGTAATAACGCCAGTATAATTCCGTAGCTATTTGCCTGTATTGCAGAGCAGTCTGAAATAGTAATTTTACAGTGTGATTTACAAATTTTTATAGTTATTAAAATGATTGTAGGTCAAGACGAAACGTTGAAGAGGTTTCAGTTACCGAGAACCGCAGGACTGATGTTGTTTAAAAATATATCAGATGTGAGCATTTTGGTGGCTACTGCTACACCCCTAATTTTGAAGAGTAGTCACCTGAAAATTTTTTGTATGGAAAGGCAGCGCAGCTGTCTTTCAAAAGTTTATTTATTGTCCCGGTGGGACTAAAGCGGAGTTAAGATTTAATGGGAAAATGATTTTTTTTTTCAAAAGTGACGAAGAATAATGTCAATGAGTTACAATTAGGACAACAAAGGCGATTGAAGTGGCTTGTGAATGAAATTACGTTGTTATTAATCGACCAGCGATTGGAAGTGCAATTGCCATACAATACAAGAGCAGAGTGGGAGCGCCGTGGCGGTTGTCAAAGTCTGATCGCCAAAGACAAGTTTCCAATGAGATCTCCAGATCCTGAGTAATATGCAGCCAATAATGGAGATGAAAGATAGCGAAGTGACAACAGTACATTTTTTGTTTTGAAAGTCACCATAATCAAGCGAAAGGAGTATACATAGTATTTTACCAGATTCAATGGGCATGTCTGGAAAGAAGGTTGATAAACACTGGAGCCAAATAGATTTTTTTGTCGGACAATCATATAAAAAGTGGCGTAGAGTATCCTCGGTTAGTGGACAATGTATACAAGGAGCAGAAGGAAAATATTCGGGGATGATATTGTGCAAGAGACTTTTTTTGGGCAACTTGTGATGAATCGCCCGATACCATACTGTAAAAATGCTGGGAGAAATTAGTAGACTCCAAAACGTTTTCCATTTGTCTATACTAAAGGTGGTAGTGGGTTTCGGAGGGAACAGAGAGTCACGTAACATTACTACCAATTGCTTAGGTTTATCGAATGCTAGAAGATATGTAGACATTTGCGACTCAAGAAGGGGACGGAGATCAATAGTGCCAGTGGCTTCTATACTGGTACCCAAAAGATGTTCGAAATTACTGGTATGTTGAATATACCCATTTGCTATTGCTACTCGAAATTTACGAAGTAACGTAGGGAATTTAGCTGCACGATCGGATCTTTGTCGAAAGATATGTGTATGGGGTCCGAAAATAAAGAAATCGCATACCAAAGTCTTAGACATACTGGCACTGTTCCTAGGAAAAACTACAGACATAATTAACTCAGAGGCCGGTATAACAGTAGTGTTGGGAGCAGGAATGACGATTGAAGCTAGATCGAATTAAAGAAACGTAGCCAAAGACAGGTTAGACTGGCTAATACTATAGTTAGGTAAAGAATCGATTAGAGGAAAGAGAATTGTAAACAAATTAGTTGTTAACTGACGAAACCCCCGTCTTTTTCTTGAGAATAGAAGTGGCCAAATGTAAGAGGATGGACCTCCCGATGCGATGAGAGAAAGACCATATTTGAGATATGGAACACTGTTGTGTAGAAAGGATCGATGATGATGTTGTGGCAGTTGTAGCACTGTGGGATCAATAATCAAGTCCACTAGCCAACTCCAGTGTAGTTTAAGTTGTTGAACTAAAGGATCTAAAATGCCAACACCGCCTTTCGTTTTATAAGGAACGAAGTTTCTGTATGTAATTTTTAGAACGCGATATGCATTAAGAAAAGTGCTACAGATTCCACGTAGACGATCTATTTGGCCTTTTGTCAGAGGAACTATGCGTAGAACATGCCATAATTTTGAAAGGAGAAGGCTGTTGAGAACCACTGATCGGCCTTTGATTGAAAGGTCACGTTCAGAGTGTATTTCACACCCACGTTGGATCTTTTGTATCAGAATGTCAATCGCTAGGTTTTTTTGAGAAGCGTTAAAGTATAGTGGGTGGCTCAGATAAGTAAGCGCATTAGGAGAATGTCGATCATGCCATCAGGTGATGGGTGTCTCCCGTGAATGGAAAGACGCCGTCCAGTACTAACTTGTTTTACCTGACAATGAGAACGCTTGAGTCTTAGCAAAATTTAGTTTTGCGTTGGAAGCGAGAGCATATTGGGTAATGAGTTGCTCTAAGCAATTAAAATCTTGATGTGTCTCTAAAAACACCAAAGTGTCATCCACATAAGCCATCACTATTAAAGGCTCAGGAGATGGTTCAGATATTAATGATGGAAAACTAAAGCCTTGGAAGTTGGTTGCCTGTTGCACGGATCAAAGGAAGGGATCAAAAGCTATATTAAACAGCAAAAGTGAAATAGGATCGCCTTGTCTCAGACCTCGTCGTCATCGAACTGGTGTAGACAGGTGTCCATTTATATTAATATAAATTTCTGTAGTAAAAAACAGCGTGCACAGTGACGATATTATTGAGCTAGGTATTCTAAATTTGTTCATCACTCGAGCGAGGTATGTTGGATGAATCCGATCATAGGCCTTCTCCTGGTCTAGTAATAGTCCAATGGCCTTAAAAGAAGTGTGCTCAGCGATAGACATTACCGTTGGCAGATTTTTCCATTTTCGCCGATAAACCGGCTAGGCATAAATCCGATCTGTTGTGGACTGATCAAGTCATTTATGTACATCATCAGGCGAGCGTTCAGCATACGAGTGAATAATTTGGCATCAGTGTTGATAAGACTAATTGGTCTACGATTACTAAGATTTGTGAGATCACCTTTTCTATGAAGGAGAATCATGCACGTTTTGTTCCAACTGGTGAAAAATACTCTTTAAAAGAGCATTATTGTACACTTGTAATGCCACCCGTATTGCAGCAGCATTATGTAAGACATGGAACAGAATTTGATACGGAATACCGTCTATACCTGGACTACTTTGTGAAGGAGACCGTTTAGCCGCGTCCAGTAAATTATCTTCCGTAAATTCCGATAAGAGATACTCTCATTGACTGTCGTCAAGTACCGAACTATCGTGGATTGTCTCAGCCATCAGATCAGTTGCATTTAAGTTGATATTGTCTGGAGTGTATAATCTTTGGTAAAAAGAGTGAGCTGCATCGGTCAAAGTTGCTGGAGATGTACAAGATGCTGATGTGATGGGATGTAGTAATTCAGGTATAAAGCTTTTGGTAATTCGAGTAGCTATAAAACGTTTTAAAAAGGAAGGTGAAGATTCACCTGTTTCCCTCCAAACATTGTTTAGCCGGTAAAGAATCATTGTTAATTATTTCCTCTTGTAATCCCTGAATTTTTGCTTCCACTTTGGAAAGTTTGAATTGTAAGACAACTGGAGTCAATGACACATTGCTGAGGATCGAGGTTGGTTTAAGCTGTAGCACATCTAACTGTTTCTTACGCCAATTTGCATGATGCCGGCCAGCTTTACGAGTAACTTCTTTAACACTCTCTTTAATGCGATCCCATCGAAGCTGAGGACCAAGATTAAGATGAAACATAGAGCAGATTTTATCTATCTCGTGGTGTATTGAATCGAAAAATATTGGGTTACAAGCTAAGGCCGGATTTGCTCGCCAGAGTCCTTTTCCTAAATGGGTAAAACTGCACTTAAAAGAAAAAGTCAAAAGAGCATGGTCAGTCTATGTAGATGATATAAATTCCACGATGAATTTGATTTTGTCAGAGAATAAATCAGTTGTCAAATGTATGAAATCAATAGTAGACATCTGTTGACCCCGTCCAAATGTAGATGATATAGTAGCTGAGTCCAAGCAATTTCTAAAATTGGATTGAAGCTCTTGATTCCAGGGAACTTGGTTGTTAGGCGAACCCCGTGTGCCAGACAAAGTATTGGATACATCATTAAAGCTAAAATCAAAATCACCAGTGATGATTGTTCGGGTAGGCAAACTTGGCGTACGGGAGGGAAGATCGACTGTAGAAATATCCTCACTAGAGCGAGAAAAGGCATTTCAATGATTACTGAAAAACATTGCTGACCCTCGGCGAGTTGTGCTGGCGGATATAAAGTAACAACAGTGAGAGGATCAAAGGTACGTTGAACATGAGTAAAGGTACACTTTATCACCCGTTGGTCTATTGTTATGAAATCTGGATTTAGTTGTAGTGAAGGGTTAAAGCAGACTATGCCACAATCATTGCTCCACACTGTTTGTTTGGTTTGAAATAAATTATCAAGAAGTAGCTTCAATTGGGTAGTTGAAGCGTGTGTTTCTTGTAGAGTAATAATGTCTAGAGGTGGGCTTTGTTTACGCAGAAAGCGTATAAAGTCTTGACGACGAGAAGGTTCATTGGTTTTGACAAGGGTGCGATAGTTTAAGATAGCAATCCTGATAGTGCTTGAATGGCATGATTCCACCAAAAATGGTTCTTGAGTGTTATAAGAAGGAGAAGGAATTACGGACTCTGAAGTTGTAGTGGTATGTGAATTAGTAATGGTTGAATGATTTGAATTATGTAAATTCATGGAGTAATTTTTTTTTTTTTTTTTTTTAAAGAAAAATGTTGGAGATACTTAAATCTGCCCCCTCATCAGGCAGACGTCTTCCGAATGGAAGATATCGGTGAAGAGGAGGAAGGGTCATATTTGACAGCAGCGACACGTTTGTTAGCACGAGGAGAGATTCGCTGGTGAGTTGTGGCAGAATTAGTAACTGTGGTTGGGGTAGTCTTGGGGACACTGGTATTGGCGGCCGATCTTTCTTCAACGATGACTGGAAAATCGTTTGAAATAAGTGGTGGTTCTTCGGCATCTGTTAACCGATTATTATCATCTTCAGAAACATCCATCATGGATTCATTAGTTGATAATACCGTAAAATAGTTGGATGGTTGAAGCACTGGTACATCCTCGTTGGCTGGGTTGACTGCGGTGGTACTGTGTGTGGTAACATTATCGTCCACATTGACTGACGGTACAGCATTAATTAAAAGCTTATTAATTCTTGGGACAAAAGGTTGTTCTTCGTTACGTACTCGTTTTTTGATGATGCGATCGGGTTATCGTGAGCGCGGGGACAATGGCGGGCTAGATGACCACGTCGATCACACAGGTTACACGTCTTACTTATGGTTGGAATCTCTTGACAGTCCTTACGGGTATGACCCATTTGTTTGCAATATACACAATGTGATTTCATCTTAGCCCATTTTCCAAGGCAAAAAGACTAGTTACCCAGATCAATTTTGTAAGTCCGTTTAGCCCAGGCTTTAGGGTTAGTTGGGTGAATTGATCTATCTAAAAAGATAGCCCCATTCCCACAAAAAGATGTCTTGGATTCGTCGTCTAGGTAAACTGTTACGTCTCTCACGTTACCGAATCGAGAGAAATGATTGACCAGAGTGGTGTGTAGGTCGGCTACTGGCAATAAAGGTAATTTTGAAAGGTGGACCTTCAAAATGATGTTATCCTGAGGGAAGGCAGGAGTGGCATAGAAATTTCTGTCGTGCCCAATAAGAATAGGAGTGTTAACGGCATCGTCAACAGCTGATTGGTGTTTAAAATAACTTCGATAATCTTGCCCTGACTGTCATCAGTGGCATGAGTACCGAGACAGGTACGAAAAGGAAAACGCACATTACGTGCTTTTTGAAATTCAGGTATTAAGTTTAAAGATTCGTTTTCAACAAAGTAAAAGACGGCATGTTTATAACTACTGTTACGATGAATAGCTGGTTTTTGATCTTTAAGGTCAGTAATGGGTTTGAAGGTGGAGTTCCCAAGGGAGATGGTAATTCGAGATTTCGAATTGGGATTATTTCGGTATGCTGGAGGTGGTAAGGCTTGTGCAGCCACATCTCGAAAAGAGCGTGTTAGTGTCTTTGAAGGGCCATGATTATGGTTCTCAAGAGATGTTGAGGGTACCGTCATGTTTTTAAAGCGAAAGAAAGACGAGTAGTCACCTGAATTTTTTAGAACATTGCGCAGTTACTACTGAGACCTAAATTTTAACAATCCAGCTGTACAGTAACTCTTCATATTGCTCAATTACTAGAACTGTTATCAAAGTCTCTTTCTCTTTTTTTCTGTTTATTTAATTATTACCAAGTTTAAACAGCAAGAGCAATTGGCATGCATTACCCTTATTATTTAGTCTATTAGTAATAACCACACCATCAGTTGGTTTTAGTTTTTTTATAAAAATTTAATCGTCAAATATTTCACTGTCTCCAGTAATTAAAACAGTCATATCTTTCGTAAAGCTCCAACATGCATTTATAGTTTTTTAACGTTTCTTTATATTTGTCGTTTTCTTTATCTTGTTTTTCCCTTAACTCTACACCTACCTTCTTTTGATCAAACATGTCTAACGTCTAGAGATTAGGATATAAAGATTATGATTGTGACTTTTGCGACAAGTCTTGTTGTCAACTTTCTGTTAAAGCAAGCATCAAGCAAATGTACAACCTAAAGGAGATTGTATTCTGGTCTTGACAAACCTTCGCCTTCGGGCGATGGTATCAATGAACCCAACGTATTTGACCTCTTTGTTTCGGGTTACCCAAATGATTCTGCCACATTAGCCTCTCGTATCAATGAGCCCAACGTCTTGGCTCCTTTCGCTCCGTGTAGACCAAATGATTCTTCGTCATCGGCTAGTTGTCTTAGAGGTCATTTTAAAAACTTTAATGATAAAGATCGGGTTGGTAACAGATGTTTTGATTCTGACGTGAAACAACTGCTCGTTTCGGTGATTTACCCGGTTTTGCTTTTTTATCGCTTAGCAAAGGCTTGCAAAAGATGCTCCAAAAATTCTGCTTCACTAAATCACCCACACGTTAATTGTGTCTGGCGCCCTAGTGTTGCCAAATAAACTAACGATTTTAGTTCCCGTCTTTACCAATTCATCCCCACTTGAACAATATTATTTATCTCTGTGATATTACAAAAAACCAAAGTGTCACAAACAAACCCTTCAGCTGAATCCTGTTGATAAATGACACTTTTACTACTACCAGTGTGAGAAAAATCATCCTTTGTTCCTTGCGGTTTTCTCCTTTTTTAGTTTTTCTGAGAATGGTTGTTTCTATCGAAACACACCAAACCATAGTGGGATTGTTTCAATTGCGTTAGGCTTTTCGTGTATTTCCAATAGTTGGCATCATGAACAGAGAAAACGGAAAATATAATGAGTAAGGAAGATAAGGATAATGATGACAATGACGGCTAGATGAAGAAGATTAGCTGTATTGAGAAATTCGAGAGATAAAACAACGAATTAGAATAAAATAAAGAAATTTGACGAAGTGAAATTATCAAACTGCAAAAATAAACTAAAGTCTTTATTATACAATAAATTGGGTTCTTTATATACATATTCAGGGCTGGCTGAATATCAATCATTAAAGTGAAACCTGTCAAATATACAATAGGCGTATTGTCAGTTAAAGATCGAGCATCTCATGGTACCTTCCAGAATCTTGTTATTGACGAGCGATCATATCATTGGATTGTATTATCTGGAATAAATGTATGACTACTGTTTTCTATATATTGATGAGTAATCAATGCGTAGTAAATAGAGTGTAATAGCATGTATTTGATTTAAAGAGTAATGCAATAATGATTTATAGAAAGGTTATCAAATAAGAAAGAAAGAATTGATGATAGAGTTATATCTGTATATAAGCTCGATCACAACAATTACAGTTTTTGTTGTGCATAGTGTTCCAAATAGTATCGCGTGGGCATTGATCGTATGCTTTCGCAACGTCAAGTGTGATGACTGTGGGTGGCGTGTTGTTGTTGTTGGTTTTAAATCGATGCATTAATTCATCAAGCACTACGGCATGATCCATAGCAGACAAATTAGGTTTAAACCCTCCTTGCTGTATACTGACGAAATCTGTTTGCTGGTATAGTTGTGCTTGTAAACAGTACTCCATAATTTTTCGACAAGTTGATGTTAAGCTAATTGGTCTGTAGTTACTTGGCTGTGTTTGATCGCCGGCACCGTTGTAAATGGGAACAATCTGGGATTGACGCCATGACTTTGGTGTATATCCAGTGATCCAGCAAATTCGGAATAGATAATTAAGTACGGTTGATGTTTGTTGAATAATGGGTTTAATCATTTCTGATGTAATATGATCGCTGCCCGGGCTTTTTTTGTTGGGAAGCCTTTTAATAGCATTGTATATATAATTTTCCGTAAATGGACAGTCATGAAAATCATAGGTATTAAGAGGTTCTGTTATATTGTTATTAGAATTAGCTGAAAGTTATCTGAACGTTCTGAAAGTGATCTGAAAAGTGACTGAAATTTTATTTGGGACACTGAATACACTTAAACGGCTACTGAAGTTCTTGAATCAACTTAGACGAATTTCAGAGGAAATTCAGAAATTCAGCTCAGTGTTCAATTCAGTTAATTTTCAGTGTGTTTTCAATGCATTAATAGCAACACATTTAATTCACTGAAATCCAACTAAAAATTCAGTTCGTTCTCAGTGGCTTTTCAATGCATTAATATTGACCCATTTGTTGCACACAAAAAACTTAACCAGCAATCCTGTAGCTTTTAAGTTACCTTTTGGCAAACTCCTTAAACAAGTTGTGTCTGCCCAGTTGCTGCTAATTTTATTAATAAAAATTCGTTATGTCGTCATCTCGAAAGCAATCATATTCTCCTATTTCAAAATCCACTCTTTTCATTTCAGGCCAGAAAAAATAGATGACATTTTAATTTTCTTTCAGATTTGAAACGATTGCAGCAACAGTGAAATCAAGGCTGTCAATTTTAACAAGTTTCAATACTGAACAAGAATTAATCTTATCTTGGTTTCCTCTCTCTGTTACGTCACCAAATAATATTCCACCTCTATTAATATGTATATTTTGATAAATGTGCACTAATGCTAGTTGCTGTTTAGACTGAAATTGATAGTGTTCAAACATCAACAGAATCTTGCCTATAACCGGATTGGAATCCTCTCCCAAATTTATCAATGCAAAATTGTTCATTCTCCTTTTTTTATGCGATACAAGTAAACTACTGTCAAATAAACGTTTTTTGCCGATGTCTATTTTTTTTGCGCAATGGATATTCTCAGCGACGCTTGTCTCAGGGATATCCCACCAACTTGACAATAATACTCGTAATCTGTAATTATTATATTGATTTATGCTTGTAACATACTTGAAACTGTTGACAACAGACTGTTCTGACACATTGTTCGCGCTCTTAATGCCTCGAATTTGATAATAGTCATACGCTTCATTGATCAAGATGTTGACGGCGTTTTTTTCCGCTCTCGATGTCGAGTTTATTCTAGATTTAAACCTATGTATTCTTTGCTCCATGCTTCGACAACTGATCTTTCTCAACGATCCCATGTCTCTGATTACATCAGTAACGTGTAAAAGATAATGCTGATTGATATTATACTTTTCTTCCGGTCCGTATTTGACAAAAAAAGTATGCCATAATGGAATAAGCTTGTCTAATTCTTGAAGTTCGGCATTAGATATGTCGTACTGAATGGCAATTGAGCATATTTTTAAGATAGTGTTTAAGGCTTCAATAGCAGCATCTATATCCTCTTGATTATTTTTTTTAATGCTTGTCTCGGTTTGTTGGACTTGAATTTGCTCAGTAACAAATGTTGGCACAATATACTTTAAAAACAGCATATAGTCAACACCTCTTGCATGTTTTGTGTTGCTGAGAACATCCTTCATCTCACCATCAAAGATACATGGCAAATATTGTCCTTGTTCCTTTATACTTGCTCCAAGTCTTGACCAATATCTATGTTTAAGCTTCAAAATCGTTTCACCTTCTCCTTTTAGGAATTTGACAAGTTGCTTTGCAATGTTGAGGCCGAACATATGGAATTCATCCAACCCAATAAATGATGTGCTTGTGAATGATGGCAAGTTTCTGAAAATCGATGGTTCTTTGATTCCATGTTCCAAGTCTCCATTTTTAAACTCATCAATAGTTCTGAGACGGACAGGATCCTCCTCATCGTTGGTAGCCTTTCCAAAACACATCGTGTTTTTGACACGCGAGGATCCTATCGTACAGAATCGACAACCCCAGTATGACATATGTCCAGATAAGAAGTTCATTTCTGACACAGACGGGATATCACCAAAAGATCCAACAAGATGCACTTTAAAGGTATATCTTTTTTCCCCTACATAAACAACCATTCCTTTTGTAGAAAGGTTCTCCATTTCCAAAATAAATGAACTCAAAAACTTTGTCAAATTTTTGGTATCTGGAATACAGGCTATATCCATCAAGTTTTCTTTCTTCAGTCTATATAAATAATTTTAATTTAGGAGTACATACTCTTTAGGAATTGATGTCATGTTTTGTGAGTAATTACCTTTCTTTATCTGGGATATTCAATACTTGAAGAATGACAGAATTTAATTTTGTCCCTCCACTATCATGAGTTTGGAACCCATCTGTAAACAAAGTAAGTGCAATGTCGTACTGTCCTTGAAAGAGGCCATGTTCGTTTCTTAAGCACTTGATGTAATTTCCTTTAACAATATCCTCAATGGGTGTGTCGAGTCCAGAAACGAAGCTTTTGTTTTTATATGAAGACGCAATTTGGGGGGCCACTTCCAATTGTAAAAACGTTCTTCTTGGTACAAAAGTCAAATTCTTCTCTTCAAATCGAGAGGTACCACAGCTAGAACACTCAGTTTCATTATCATTGCTGTAAACATGGCAAGTTTCCGGGCAGATGTCAGTAGCAAAGGGCCTGAATGGTGACTCTTTCTTGAACAAAGTCTGGTACTTACAATGCGAAAGAAGTTTGGAATCATCTTTAATTAAACAAATTTTCAGTAACCCAAAATCGATAACAATATGAGAAACGTTTACCTTCTTTTTTAAACTTATTATACCATTTTACTATATCATTTATAGTTGATTGCGTTACATTATGCTTCTTGAAAATGGTATGGATTTCTTCGTTCTTTTTATCCATAATTTCAAAGTCGTCATTATCCGATTCGGGGATAATATATACTTTATGGAAGTTATCATCATTTGGAACTTCGAGATCCATATCATTGTTATCATCATAGAAAGGGCTGCCAAAATCAGTCTTTCCCTCATCAACATCGTCATTCACGACAACATCATCCCTCACGTCAACATCCGATTGAAGGTACAAATTACTTGAATTTGATTGGTTTACTTTTTGACGTTTGTAACCAAACTCTGTTTCGTGAAAATCCGTTACGGTGCTTGTCATGTCATTTATCGCCCTTTCGGACTCATGGAGTCTCATATGGCTGTTGCGATTTCTGCCTGTGATAATTTTTTTACAATCGGGGCATTCAAAAGGCATGGTAGGTTAAAGAGTAAAGCTGAAACAAAACATCATGTTGAGCTAAATTAAATTATTATCGTCAAAATATTTAAAGTCACTATTTGTAAACAAAGCACCAACAGATACGCCACTTTTTTAAAAAAAATCTTTTATTTTCTTACAAAGTACAAAACATGCCTCCTAAAACGAACAAATTCGAGTCATCAACCTCAGACTTGTTAAAGCAGATTTTAAAAAAACTAGACATTCGGGATGGGATTTGCAAAAAGCTAGAATTACAAGAGGAACTTATAAAAAAAAATGCTGAGGAGATTACTAGTTTGAAAACAGTAATCGAACAGTACCGCATTGAGGCAAACGATTCTCATAATCAAGAAGCCATTTCAGCAGCAAGCGACCCCCGCACTGTTCCTATGCCAACAGTATCCGAGGATGGCAATGATATCAAGAAAAGAATCACCAAGGCAGATATTATCAACGCGATCACGATCCTGAATAATGATGGTTCAATTGACCC